ATTTCTGGGAGCTTTGAAAAATTAAGCCACATGCTATACGGAACTAGACTGAAGGCTGTAGGTGGCTCTAGGACTGAAAGTCGCCGACACTTCCTTCTAATACAACAGCTACAGGAGCCCATTTACACATCTCTCCAGACTGGGGCTTAGTTGCTTTCCACATGATCCCATGTAAATCTCCACCCTTATTTCAGAGTATTTAGTATTGCATGGAACTCGTGTCTCTAGCTGCTGGAACAAGGAATGGAGACCATTTTAACATAGACCACTTAGTCTAAAGTGGATTAGAAGAACTATCTAGAGAGCATTGACAGACAAATGACAGTGACAGCTACAGGACCCCCACCCCCCCTTTTTTTGCACAGGCTTTCTTTCTGATTGAGTCACGCCAAGCAAAGCAGCAAGCAAAAGCAACAGTTGATGGTGATCTCATCAACTTTCATTTGGGTGCCCACAGGGCCAGAATTCTCTTCTAGGCAGATAAACTCCCTTGGCAGCAGGTGTGGCCAGACACTGGGTGAGGCACTGGGAGAGTTGCCAGGCTATAAGCACCGGCATGGCTGCAGGCTGAGGTGAGGCAGCTCCAGGTGCAGCTTCTGACAAGCACATCAGAACAAGTTGCAGGTAAATATTCCAGTCAGGTCCACTTCCCAGAGCTGGACTTTCTTGCCCAGGAAACCCTAAATTCTGGTAATTTGGTAATGACAGTGATGTTCGGGAGCAGTTGGGGCTGGACATAAAATTATCCTCTTCCCAAATTAATTTGTTCTGACTAGTCAGAGCAAACTTCAACAAACAACAACAGGACTGGGGAGTGTAGTGTGGTTCTCAGACATTGTGCTCCATTCTGCTGAAGGACTCACTTTTCTGCTAGAGTGCAAACCCAGTATAATCTAAAGAAGCATGGCCATTCCTGTTTTCCCCCTCATCCCTGTGACTCAGGAGATAGAGAACTACCGATGAGGTTAAGGGGAAGCTGCAGCACCAGCCATGTATTTCCTGTTCCAGTTCAGCTCCCGTATTCCCTGAAGCAATTTAACTAATTGCTTTTTGAGAAAAGAATCTTTCTGAAACTTAGCACTTCTAACCCCAAAGATCACCCCTGTCAAGTTTTGCACTAACCTCTAGCTACATAAGTGAGCCGGTAGCCTTGTAGGGCTTCATTCAGTTCAGCTGCCCAGGATAGTCTGAGGAAAAATGGTCCTGTTTCTAACACCCGAAAATTTGTCACGCCAGACAGCATCTCTGCAAGGAAAACAAAGAATCAATGGGGTGGGTTCTTCACATTCACTTGAGTTCCAGACACAANAAAAATTACTTAAATCTTCATTTTGTTAATAAAGCCGAGATGTCAGTTATTAGCTTTTCAAATCCATGGCTTGTACTGTAATCCCCCCAATCTAAATTTAATTGTATAGTTGTGATAATGTAATAATTAATTCATTGTACTGATGTATTAATGTACGTATATTAAAAGTATGTGTTTGCAAGATTTTTAAAAAAGTAGCCTGAGCATTCCCTGCTTCTGTTAAAATATTCATGACTGGGAGAGACATGGGAACAAGGTCAGCCAATGAATAGGCATAGCGACTAAGTCAGCCAATGGGAGCGCAAACAGATCTGAGTCTGTGCAGATAATTGAAACAGAAACTTTTGCAATCTGTTGCTCTGAGACGTAAACTAGCAATCTGCCTGGATTTGTCTGCTGAAATTAAACTAACTGTTTGTGTTTGCCTGTAACTCTCCTGCCTCTCCAGGTGGTTTACTTGGAAGAACCACCTGTTGGTATTGTACATTTATTTATCTATTCTTATGTATATAAAGTAGTTAATGAATCCAACTGAATCAGTTAACTGTCTGTGCTTCTTGATTTGAATTTATGCAACAAACTGTCGACATTCCCAAATTCATTTTACAACATTTTAACTGTATATTTCACTTAATCCATCACTGAGATTAAAACTACCACCAGTGTGCTGATAATATATCAGGCTGCACCAATGGATAACCTCTCCTCGGGGCTATAAATGGTTATGAAAATAAGGACACTCTACATGTCAACAACAAACAAACATTTTGTTCAAGAGGCTCACAACTTCTTGCAATTATTGTGAGGAAACCAGAAACGGAAAATCAATAAACTTTGGAAGCTTCCTTACCACTACGCTGGCTCCACACCACTCGATATGCTGTAGCCCCTGGGACACCAACCCAAGAGATGCGTACCACATTTCCCCTGGACTCAAGGACTCTGAGGCTGCTGACTGTTCCCACTGGATCAAAGCCTTCAAGACAAAGAACAAAAAAAAAGAATGATTGGCAATAGGATTCTCAAGGTGTAGCAAAAAGAGGCAGAGAGCTATGCATTCGCATCATCCGCAACTACAACTGGTCTCACCTGTTGTAGCTGTGGTGGTAGCTGAGCTCCCTTCTCTGCTGCCAACTAAGGCTGAAACCTCAATGAAATAGACAGTTCCAGGCCTCAGACCATCAATGGTGTAGGAATTTATATCAGCTGGTAGGACTCGAGAGATCTCTTGACCTGGAGGGGAAAAGGTGTGTTCAGGCAACTGATGGAAGCAACAGATTACTCACACAAGGAAGAAAACAATGAATTCTTACTGCTTAAAACCACCAGAGAGTACAAATCAGCCAAGGCTAATTATTCCAGGCTAATAATCTGGAACTCAATCACCCTTTTGCATTTGTACTGTCATTCTTTGATCAGAATTTGTACTCACAAAATGTGCACTAAAATCCCTTGATTAGCAGAAATGACAGCAAAGATTGTTTTACGTATGCTAGCATATGCTGCCTTAAGCTTCTGAAGTATAGGTGGAATATAATAAATAAAATAAGTAATATGCATACTTTACTAACCCATTTCTTCCTTTATTTGAGTTTGTAGTAGTACAAAAATATGATTGTTGCAGAAATGAAAATGTTTGCAACATGATTGTTTCTGGAAAATTTACTGAAATGTTTGACAAAAGCAAACTTGTAATTCAAAAGTTCAAAAGTTGTAAAAAAAAAAACAAATAGGCGCATTCTTGTTGTGAGTATCTGCTTACTCAAATCTGGCAAGTAAGAAACCAGAATTTTCACATCTAACCAATAGTCTATCTATGCTACAAAAACATTCAATGGCAGGCTAAGTGTGAATAATTATGTTTGCAATATAATGCAATATAATTTGCAAGATGCAAATTTCACGGATGAAACATCTCAAATAGTTCCATGTGCATATAATGTGCATATAAGGTGAAACAAGAAGGGGAATGCTGTTGTCTTAAGAATGCAAACAAAAAAGCAGAATGAAGAGGGAAAAAAAGAATCAGCACATGGCCAGCAACAGGGTGATGGATAGTATATTACATAATACATTCCCTGATCTGAGAGATGAAATCACAGCTAATACACTCTGGTCCCCAGAGTTTCCTGTTAGCTAATTAATTTTATTCCTGACAGATTCAATAATGAAAATCAGATCACAAGAAGATACAAAATACAGATGCCTAACTTTTAATTTCTTTTCTGCTATGATTATACACAACAGGAAATCAATATTAGAAGATTTTGTTCATGAGATTCAATGCTCTGTTATTGGTTTTATCAGTACGTTAACTTCATTCTCAAAATGTCAACTGAAAATGAAATATTAACTACTTTATCTCATACAAACATATTAACTAGGTAGACTATATCAAGACACAAAGTCATTTCTTCATTGGCTATACTACAGTAGAAACAAGAAGGCAGGGAAGTGAATATTCTTTTACATACTCTGAATATAAACTACTACATTGTACTTCAATGGAAGGTATACAGTTCAACACTATAGTACAAAAATACCAAGGCTATTGCCTCTTTATAATAAAATTTATTTCACAGATTGCTAGAGAATAACTAAGCTTTGAGGACAAAATATCCAATTTATTTTTTCTATCTGAACTTTCTATCTGCACTTTATAATTCCTCAAATTATTCAGAACTGACAGAGAGATGAAGCAAAAAATTATCTATGTATCATCTCAATTTCTTGGATGCAATTTCTCAGGGTGTGGAGGAGGACGGAGGGAACTGATGAAATCTTTCAATTTTAAACCATGAGAAAATGTTAAAATATGCCACACACTGCAAGAAAGAGAAGCAGATATTTTGGCATTCAGAAAAATAGCAAGCTGAAATTGAGCTGGCCTTCTCTAGTAAGAGTGCAAGTTTCTCCTAGAAAAAATGTTATTATTTTCTTGTAATTATTCATATTAAAGTAAAATATATATTTAATCTTATATATATATTAAAGCTGTGTAGTATTTTGAAACTGAAGCAGAAAAAAATGCTTTGGAGCTTATAGCACCTATTAGCAGCTCCTTAAACTAAAAACATCTTCCATTGGGGTGGCCTACAACTCTGGAGAGAAGTTATGTTGTCCAAGGAAAAGATAAGGCTGCTTTAAAAAGTTGTTGACATGTCCTATGAATGAGCATCCCTGCTCATTCTAGAACACACACACACACACACACACACACACACTTGCACATACACTAACCCAAGAAAAATAACTCCAAATTGGATTTGGCTTATATATGTAAGCATTTATGATACTATCTATATATTCCTAAATCCATATGCAAATAAGCTGCTCTCAAACTTTTAACCAGCTGTGCCATTTGTGGAAAATTGTGACAATTAAAAAGATATGAAAACTTTGAGGTTTGGCTTATCTCCAGGTGGCAAATTTTTTACAGTATTTTAGTTAAAAATATGAGTTGACTTGGCTTATTTTCAAATGGGCTTAGATACAATATTAATATATACCGTGTGTAAATGTGTATAAAATCTGTTATATAATTAAAGTTTTCTCAAAGGAGAAAGTCACTAATCCTGTTTTAACATGTTTTGCATTGGGCCCACCATCAAATCTGTGCTTAAGAATGCTTATAAAATATTTTAATGTTAAGAAGAGCCTTTTGCTTAGAACTGACAACTAACTGCCTAAATAGTTCTGAACTGCAAAGAGATTAGCTTGCTCAGAGACACAGATAAACTCTAGCATTTAATCACATTACTAGAGTATCC